TGTGGAATGATGATGAACCATACATTTAAAGCCATGGAAGAATAAATTACAATAATCCAGCTTTTTTAAAAGGAATGGCTTCTTGGGACTAGCAGGTGGCATGATGGTTAGGGCAGCTGGACTCCTACATGGCTGACCATGGTTTGAATCCCGGACCTGGCAACCTGCTTTCTCACTTTTCCTCTCTCTTGGTCTCTCTCTGGTCAACTTTAAAAAATAAAATAAAAAACAATGAATACAATTAAAAATATATATATATTTTTAAAAAGCAGTGGCTTCTCCTGCAGGATAAATTCATTAGGCCAGAAAAGAGCAAGAAGTCATCACAAGCTTACTGATAAAGAGGAGCAGGGATCCAGCTGCATCATGTCATGGTCAGATTTCACACATTTCTGGGTGTAGTAACATACTCATCTCCAAAATCTTTGTTTCATGCTTTAAATGGTTAAAAACAAAATACGCATATGGTTATCCTATAAAAGTAATTATGCGTGTGTGAAAATGTTCCAGAAACGTTCACTCTCTTGGTTAACAGGTATTTAAAAATCTGTTGTTTTTGATGACAAAAAAAAAAAAGTCCCTCAAATACACATGATTAATGTTTTGAGTAGGAGATGGTTCATTTCCCAATAATTCCACCAGTATCTGCCTCAATTAGTTTTGGAAAAACAAATCAGTTTACTTAATGCAGTTCTAAAATTATTCTGGAAAGTAAAAACAAACAACGGCTTTAAAAATATGATGTGCACCCACTCACCAACAGAGCTTCAGGACAGCTTTTCTTCATTCAGAAAGGATGGGCCCTGACAGTAAACTGGGGGCTCTGGGCCACATCTCTGTGTGGGGCCAACCTTGTCATTTCAACATCCTTTCTTTCCTCACTCTGCCTCCCATGTACCCTGAACTCGGGAAAGGGGCCACAGAGGACTCACTCTATAGCCCTGGTCTTCACAGAGCACCTATTCTGGACCATTCCATCCACACATATTTGCAAGGCACCGACTATACGCCAAGCACTGTTTTGGACACAGAAGGGTTAGCCCTGGCAAAACAAGATCCTTTATTCGAGTTTACACTTTAGTGGAGAGAATAACAACAAAAGCATCTCTCTGCAAAAGGAGTGAGTGTGAGTGTATGTGTGTGCACACACGCATGTGTATGAGAAGGAACTTGGGAAGCAACAGCACCAACCGAGTACCTCAGTGTGCAAGTGGCCAGGCTGTCTGCAACGCCATCTGCTTTTGGCATCATGCTTCTTTCAGAAAGGACACGCCAACGGGCGGCCTCTGTTCTTCTCCTTGTTGATCTGCAAGCCTGATTTAGATCAAGGCTGTAGGGGATGTCGCTTGGCACTGTCCTAAAAACAGTTCTGAGTGGCTTCCTCTCTTCCTCTGTCCCAGTAGAGAGATACTCTCGCCAGTATACAGGACATCTGAGTGACGGCCAGGCAGAAGTGGATGGGGGTGGGGATGGGGACCATGGTGGCTTTTGGAGAAAGGAAGTCCTGGGGCCCTTTGGAAATGAGGTGTTACTCCCAACCCACGACCCAACCCCACAACACAAAGTAAAATATGATGCTTTTGGTTTTAACTAAAACCACCATTAAGGATGATACTTTTTAAAAAGAAAGTCACCAAATCCTTATGATATAGGAAATATAAAACGGAGGAATGAGAAAGGTTTTGCAGAGGATGGGTTTCTGAGGGGGTGAAGGCATGTGAGAGAGGCTTGAGTCTATGTTTGGGGCCGACCAAAGCTGGACTTCAGGATTCAGATCAAAGGACCGAGTCTCTTTATCTTGTTGGGTCAAAGTTCAGAAAATCACGGGTCTCGCCACCTACAAAAGTACACATACACACCACTTTTGCAGACTATCACTGAGGTCTCCTGAAGGCTTTTATGTTTCCCATATTAAAAATGAACAAACACACACACACACACACACACACACACACACACAAAACAAACCAAAAGCAAAATCAAAACATCTCAGGACTTCAGCTTCCTGGAGCAGAAATAGGCAAACTCCTTCTCGCGAGCCAGGTGGTTAATTCTTTCAGCTTTGCGGTCTGCACAGTCACTATCACAATGACTCAACTCTGCCCTTACAGTTGAGAAGCAGCCACAGACAGAGAGTAAAAGAATGAATGTGGCCGCGATGCAATCACGATTTGGACACGGACACAGAAATTGTAATATCGTAATTCGTATGCATTAACAAATATTCCTCTTTTCTTTCTTTACACATTAGAAAACATAAGCAACAGGGCTCGAGAAGGGGACAGTGAAACACAAGGCTCTGTGAAGCTGACACACGTGTTTCTGGATTCGCATCCAGACACCTCCCTGAGTACGCCAGGCATGCGCGTGACTGTAATCCCAGGCTAGCTGCTGTTGTGGGTAGACCTCTGTCTTGGGGTATGGAAGGTGCTGTCCTTCCCTCCCCGGCTAATGGAAGAAATCCATAAATGAGGGCCAGCAGGTGGCGTGGTGGTTAAAGAACTGGACTCCCACACAGCTGACCATGGCTCGTGTCCTAGACCTGGTGGCTTGCTTTTTCACTCCGCCCTGCCATCTCTCTCTGATCCAGCTGGAAAATAATAATAATAATGATAATGATAATAATAATAATAAAAATAAAGTTAGGAGACGGCAAGTAGCATGGTGGTTAAGGGTACTGGACTCTCATGTGGTTAATCACGATTTGAGTCCTGGACCTGGTGGCTTGCTTTTTCTCTCTCACTCAGTCCCTCTTTGGTCTAATTAAAATAAAATAAATAAAGTTAAATAAAATAGTCCTTTAAAAAAATAAATAAATAAAGTTAAACAGAATAATTCTTTTAAAAATAAAGTTAAATAAATAACTCTTTAAAAAAGGCTACATAGAGCCAGTCAGTCTTTTTAGAGTCAGTCTCTACCCCTGGCCTTGTTGGCAGCACCAGAGCATGCAGGGCCTGGGCCCCTGAGTCATCAATAAAGATGTAGGTGTCTCCTAGCAGAGGAGCAAGCACCGACTGCAGGGCCTGGGAAGGGGAACACAGACCCACGCTCTGCTTCCCTCTCTGGCCTCGGTTTTCTCCATGAACCTCCCATTCTCTTGGGCTCCACTTCCCATCTATACAACAGAGCAAACTACGCGATGATTTATAAACTCCCTTCCACCTCTGGACGTTGATCATCCTGAGTGTACAACCAAAGAGAGGAATACTATATCCACGAGAAGAGCGACAAGACGGGAAGACGCCAAATCTGTAACTAGTTCACACGTTTCAGGTACAGGCAACCTTGGAGCAGGACAGACAGGCAGCAATTGGGGTCAACGGAACACCAGCACGATGGCAATTTCCTGTCCAAGGGGAAACCCCAGATTTCAGTTTCTACCCTGTTTGCCAGCTACACGAGGCCCTGAGGTGGAGGTGGAAGCTTGCTGAATGCCCCACAGCAAGATGGTCAGAATAAGGTCTTGGGTGGACATTTCTCTTTAGAGGAAAACAGGTTCCCAAATAAGCAGACATCATTTCATTTTGTTTTCGTAGGTCACTGGGAAAGTCATGATGTATTTTGCTGTTTTTCTACACAAAAATGAGTCACGACTCTCCCAAGGACCCAATATATTACTTTACTGGGCTCAAGGGACGGACACACCCACAAGGAGACACAAATACAAGATTGCAACAGGAGGAGCAAGGCGAGGGTCCTGCATCTGAGGGCGAACCCGAGCTCCCGAGGTACGGAAGACAACGGAGCACACGCCCTGGCACTGCAAGGCCAAGGGCGGGGAGGGCCACTCAGATGCCCAGAAGCGCCTGCTACCAAAGGCAAGGGCTCAGAGCATGGCAGCGGGCACCACCCTGGCACTCCACCCTCACCCAGGACTCACGGCACAGGGAGGAGAGGTGAAGGCAGGACGCAGGGAAAGCTACGACAAGGCTGCGGCTAGAAAGAGCACCAGGGCCTACGGCAAGGCAGGCTGGTGGGGCTTGAGAGAAACATGCGAGAACATTCTATAAAACCTGGGCAAGGGCAGGTTGTGCCTCAGGGTTAAGGGAGCCAGATCCCACATGGCTGACTGTGAGGTTTGAATACTAGACCTTGTGGCTTGAAAAGCACACCGGAAATGTGTGTGTGTGCCCAAAATCCTCAAAGGAGGGAGAAATGGAGAAGGGATGGTGGCATGACCGTGCCTCACTTGGGGGATGCTTTCTCCCTCTTCCCCTCTCTCTCTGATGAGTGCATTAGCCCTCTGGCAAATTCAAAACAAGACACATCTGGGGAAGCAAGAAGAGGAAAGCAATCTGCAGATTCTCAGCCATGCTGTCCCAGGAGAGAGGCAAGTCAGGGTACAACCAGCTACGCTGCAGAATCCAGGAGCAAGGCAGATGTGAACCAGAATTCCGGGGTGCCGAAGGGATACCTACTCACAGAGCAGCGCTGCTGGGGCAGCTGATCACCCTCAGACAAACACAAATCAGACCCTTGGAAGCTTGTAGATGAGCAATACTTTCACCAAAAAGCATTTCTGGTGATTCAAATGGGTGAGCAGAGGAAAGATCCTACCTTCTAAGTAAACACGGGCCACACTTGGCAAATGCAAGGGGCTGGCCACACGAGACCCAGAATCTAAGAGAGGTACGACGTAGTTGAAGGCTTCAGAAAGAAACTTGCTGGAAAACATTATCAACCACGATCTGTTCAGAGCGAGACATTATTTCTAACGAGTCACAGTAGTGGTGCAATCTGCAGATGGCAGATTAAATGCACAGAGTAGAGCTGATTTAAGACATAAATACCAAAGGCTTCCAAGTCAGGAAGGGGGAGCTGGCAAACCCCTCGAACGCTGGAGTGGACACGTGTGATCATGCTGCCAGCATGCATTAGCAGGAGGCCTGCCCTCCGGAGGAGGACCAAGCCCCACCGGGAGTACCAGCCAGCATGCTGAGTAATACCCCATGGCCAACCACAAGAGATGCCACCTGCAGCCAGCTCCCCTGGACACTCACCTTTCCCGTTAACGGCCAAGCCCGTGGTCATGGCTTGAGTCACAGGCCCAGGCACCTGAGGCACTAGTGGGTGTATTCGGGGTCTGCTCCCCATCCTCGCTCGCTCTGCACCAGGCCCCAGTAAAGCTCCCACGGGCTTTTCTGCAGCCACTTCGGGCGCCACTGTATCCTCTGGACCCTGCTCGATGGAATCCAGTTTTTCTGGGCTCTCGTTTTGAAAGCCGTCCACCGCGGTCCTGCTCTTAATGGGGCTCTTAGGCACAAGAATCTTGATACCGGACTTGGCCAGGTCCATGTTCTTCCGGCTTGCGAGAGATGAAGCTGTGTTTCTCCTGAACTTCTGGCTGGCAGCAAACAGCTGACTGTTTTTGGACTCGTGGTCTTTGCCAAGCACTAACGACTTAGGGGAGGTCTTAGAAAAGCTGCTGTTGGTGGACCTGGAAATCTGTTTCCGAGCGTTGTTGGGGGAGGCCCTGTTGGTCCTGGTCAGTGTGCTTTCCCTCTGCTTCTCCGTGTGGCGTCTGTTGAAATCGTGGATGTACTCCTCGCAGTTGAGAAGGTGCAGCTCGGGCTCCCACGTGTCATCCTCGCTGTCGTAGCCCTTCCACCGAACCAGATACTCCGTCTTCCCTTTTTTGTTTTTCCTTTTGTCAACGATCCTTTCAACCTGTTTACAAAAGGGGAAAAAAAGTTTTTTTTAAAAAAAGACATTATTCAAAAAAAAGGGAAAGTGTACTAAGGAAGCATCTAAAATAATAAAAACCATAACAGATAATGAAAATGATCTTCTCTTCCTCAAGCCCAATCATGTGAAAATAAAACAAGAATAGAAAACTTGGAATTTGGGCAATTTCTCTGAAATTAAGTCAAATAAAATGCTAACATTTTCTGCTTCAAATGGATGTGAGTAAGGAGGCGTGTGTGTGTGTGTGTGCGCGCGCGTGTGTGTGTGTGCATGCATGTGTGTAAGAGGCTCTTCTTATGTCCCTATTTAACCCTGACCACCTGAGCAGGTTTTCATCATCATGACTACCATAGCCCTGGTCACATGCGCCCTGTGCCTGGCCATTCTTCGGTTACCAGCAGTAGCGACCAAGAAAGGCTGTGGAGATGACAACAAGTTCTAGGGGACTAAGAGCATTCTTTTTCTTTTTCTTTTTCTTTTTTTTTTTTTGAGAGGTCTTTGCTATAGGGTGCGTGTGCTTGCCCAGAAAGATAGAAAGACAGAGAGACAGAAAGTGAGAAATCACCCCCTAGGGAGGATGGCGACACAGCAATCACTTCTCCTCCATTCTCCTCTCGGGATCTTGGGCACGCACGTACACGCGCCCAGTGTGAGTTTAAGCCACCAGGTCTGGGACTCGAACCGCAGTCGACTACATCGGTCCAGCAACCTAGCCATTATGTTAACTGCTGGTCCTTAGACTAAGAACATTCTGTGGCACAGAACCAGTTGTTGAAGCAACACACAACCTGGACAACGACCATTGTGAACATTCAAAACTCAAAACGTTCATAGTGAACATAATTCTTTCTTGTAATAAAAATGGACTAGAATAGTCAGGTTAACCAATCTTGGTTTTAATTAGTCTTATGTTTCTATCTTTAAGGGAAGATGCTACTTATCTTTGAATCTGATGATCAGTGAGTTCTGTTATCAACTTATAAGTTCTCAGAACCTTGTCTCCCAAACATGTGATTACTGTGACAAATCCTACAACCGTAACATCTGAAGTATAAATGAAAGACAGATGATATAACGATCCTGGAAGCTGCTGGAGAAACACCTCGATTCTGCTGTTTCATCTGCATCTAATACAAAAGCCATGAGCTTGCCTCCCGGAGGACAGCACTTCACCCTTTCTTGTAGACAGAGGCCTAAGCCTTTGGCAGCTCTTTAATTAAGGACACGAAGGTCTAAGCTCATCAATTATCAAGCACGTCAGTATGTTTCCAGCACAGTCACAGGTTAGGTCAGATGACAGAACGGTGGACCTAGTTTTCTAACGTTCTAGAATAAAGGAGGTCAACTGAGTATGATAGACAATGTGAGGGGTCAGCAGTTGGCATGGGGAGGTTAAGGTGCTGAACTCCCACATGGCCAACTGTGGTTCGAGTCCCAGACCCGGTGATGCGTGAAAATCACCAATCACCCTAGGCAGGATTGTGTGCGTGTCCAAAAATCCCAACAGGAGAATGGAGGAAAAGGGGTGGGGTGATTTCACTCTGTGGGGTGATCTCTCACTACTTTCTCTCTCCCTAGCTCTCTCTGGCCAGCGCATGTGGACTATAGCAAAACTCTAAAAACAAACAAAAAAGTAAAGACAATTTGATACTGAGAGTACCCCAACCCCTGCCAAAAAACAAACAAACCAACAAAAAGCAACTAAAATAGTCATAACCGTCGGTATTTCTACTTGGAACAGAGAGAACTAAAACCCTTAACAAACAGCCTGAAATTAAATACACATAACTGTTTCTGTGCAAAAAAGGATTAAGACTCAAACAGCCTTATTTCACTGCAAGGTAGATTTCATGTCTAATAGATCCCCATAGTTGATCATTTATGTCGAAGCAGCATTCACAGGTCTACAGAGTCCATAATACAACAAAGGAAGGCTTGGATGCGATTTCCCCCATCCTTCACTTGTGAATAGATATGTATAAGGGAATAAGAACTTCGGTTTAAGTGAAAGATATATTTCTGGAAAATTCCACTCAAATCAATTTCATGGCAGGAACAGCTTAAACTTTTAAGTGCAAGGGTAAAATAATCTTTTATGGGAAAGCTGTGTTTAATACTTTTTCCCCAAAATCGATTTCCATTCCAGAAGCATGCAATACACGAAACCAGAGTGCCTCTTCCTCTTTTTCCTTTAAGCTGAAGACAGGGTTGGCGGCAGTTTCTTTACCTCCTCCTCGACGTTGTAACACTGGATTTCCCCCTCCGGGGCCAGAATCCCACGGGAACCTCTGGCGGGAAAGCTCCCACAGGCTCCTGCTTGTCTCCAGGACACTGAGAGATGAGGGACAACGACTTTGGCCTCAGTGTCAATGGGGATTGTGTGTGCTGGGTTTAGGTACACTCAACGGCCATTGTATAGACGATGAAAGAAAGCAGCCACAGGGGACACGTTAGACCAAGGGAGGGCAACCTTGATCCAAACGGCCCAAGAATTTAGGGTTTTGGGCCGCATGGTCTCCCAACCACTCAACTCTACAACTATAGCGAGGAAGCGGCCACAGATAGTACTTTTCCTTACATCTTGTGCAACTCAGAGCATGTCTCAACACATCCGTTAACCCAAACTCCATTAACAAACACTAACATTTGAATTCTATAATTTTCACATATCTTAAAATATTACTCTTTTGATGTCTTTACAACTACTTAAAAAATGTAAAAAGCAGGGCCAGCAGGTGGTGTGGTGGTTAAGGGCACTGGACTCCCAACATGGCCGACTGTGGTTCAAGTCCTGGACCTGGCAGCTTGCTTTCTTTTTTTCTTTCTCTCTCTCCCACTCTTTGATCAAATTTAAAAAAGAAGAAAAGAAAGAAAGAAAAGAAAGAAAGAAAAGAAAAGAAAGAAAGAAAGAAAGAAGGAAAGGAAAGGAAAAGAAAGTTAAATAAAATTATTCTTTTTTAAAAAAAGTAAAAAGCTCATCTCCAAGTTAATTCGCAGTCACAGTCTGCTAACCCATTCATTAGACCACGAAGGAGACATGCAGGAACAGGCATATCCCTCCATCCATTCTTTTATTTCTTTTTAAGATTATTTATTTATTTTATTTTATTTGTTATTATTACTTATTTTTAATTTTACCACAAAGAGACTGAGAGAAAGGTTAAGTGAGAAAGCAAGCCACCAGGTCCAGAACTCGAAACACAGTCAGCCATGTGAGAGTAGAACACCTCAACCACCAGCCACCTGCCAGCCCCACTCTGCTAATTCTTGTGTTGGAAACAGCCCACAAGTTGATAAGATATATATGTCTGACAAGGAGACTAGACAGGTGACTTAAGTGGTAGGTCTACAATTGTAGCTCCATACAAGAGAGACAGAGTTGGGAGTTTTGTCCAACAAACATCACGAGGTATCAAGTACCAACTTTAGACTCAACTGGGCACATGAGATTCCTACCCTTTCTCCCAACTGCCCTTCCCCGTTTGAGAATTGTAAAGTCCTATTGATCCCTCTACCCTGAGTGGCTAAAGTAATTAATCTCCCACAAAAAAGTATCAATGGATTCAATAAATTATTAGAATATTATTAACCTAAACTTCCCGGACACTTTTATGGTGGCCAGAGAGGAAAACCTTAACTACAAGACTAATAAGTAAACAAATCTTTCTTCAGGTTTATGGTCCTTCCCCTTGAGTCTCCCTTACCACCATTAACTGTTTCTAAAATCTCTCAGTGAACTTTCTCCAACTGTATTATAACTATTCTTCTAAGTAGAAAATTTCAGTGCGAATAGTTTTACACACAATAAATCCTTCATAGAAAGATAAAAGAATTGCAAGTTCTACTGAAAATTTTGAAAGCAGAGACAAACTGAGGGAAAAACATGAAAACCTTGCCAAAGTCACCTAGGCACCCTGCTCTGCAATAACGTTACCCCAATCACACATGGAGCAAAATTTAGGTGGCAAACTCAAACCACAGGAGTCTTCTTTGTTTATATAATAAAGATTCCCCATTAAAATTCAATTAAAAAAATCAAAATGTGGAACAAGTAAAACTTGATTTCTCTTAACATTACAAAAGGCCCTGGTGTGGCCAGCAGGTGGTGTGGTGGTTAAGGGTGCCAGACTCCCACATGGCAAAATGTGGTTTGAGTGAGTCTTGGACCTGGTGGTTTGCTTTCTCTCTCCTCTCTCTCTCTCTCTCACACACATATTCTGTCCCTCTCTAGTCACATTAAAATAAATAAGCACATAAGTAAAATAAAGTTGAATAAAATCTTAGGAAAAAAAAAAAGGTCCAGATGGTTGGCAGAGCAATGAAATTAACCCAAAAGGATTGTTCCAAACGCTTGCCTGTTTCAGCTGTCGAGAAGCACACCCAGCTATCCCCAGAGCTCCACGGATGTGTTGAGACATGCACCGAGTTGCAGAAGATGTAAGGAAAAGAATGGACTTATTAACCTATAAATAAAAATCCACGGAGGGACCAGCATATAGTGTAGCAGTTACGCCGCTGGACTCCCACATGGCCAACTGCAGCTTGAGTCCTGGACCCAGTGGCTCGAAAATCACACAGGGCACATGTGCGAGTGTGCCCAAGATCCTGGGAGGAGAAGGGAGGAAAAGGGATTGTGGCAGGGGCATGGGGGGGGGGGGTGATTTCTCACTTTCCCTCTCAGTATCTCTGTCTCTCTCTCTCCCTGGCAAGTGCACATGCCCTAAGGCAAAAATCTCCCCCCACCCAAAAAACCATCCATGGAAACCCAAACTGGTTAAAGAGGGGAAGACAAGTAAGTCTACTAGTTTTGTACTTAACATGGAAACCAGGGCAAGTGCGCAAGTGTACTGACCTATGAAAAGAAGACTGACGCTGCAATTATCTCCAGTCGGCAAACTCGCACGTGTCACGTCACTTCCATAACCACGTTGGGAGCAGTGCTGGGCGTGACTACAACGTGCTCTAACTCTGTGCAGCCCCGC